ACTCGTCCACATTAATGCTGACTCGTCCACATTAATGCTGACTCGTTCAAATTAATGCTGACTCGTCCACATTAATTCTAGTGTTCCCTAAGATGCTTCAGCACACGTGACCCAGACTGTACAGTCATGATGGTTTAAGCAGGTCCAGTTCCTTCCAGGGTGTAAACGGACCCGACAGTGCTGGATGTCTTCCAGCTGTTCAAATGTTTCTGAAACTGTTCTCTCTCTAACTCTGCAGTAAATATTGACAGATTATATGGTTCTGATGTTCCTGGTATTAACATTTGTATTTGTGTAATAAATAACATTAACTTCACATTGTGTAAATAAAAAATGCATTTTATGTTTTTGTATATTAATTAAGACATTTATGTATTTTTATTTGTTTCATATTTTGTTTTTATTCAAATAAAAACCTGTAAATAACCATTAGTGGTTTATACATTTTTGTGTTTCTGCACAATAAAAAGAAGTTACATAAACATTTAAAATGCAGTATTTGGACTTTTTTAATTTTATTTTATTTTATTTTTCATCTAAATCTCCAGAGGATAAGAGGAAGCAGAGGCAGTGATATTCGGGGACCGGCTGAGGTTTTCTGTTGTCCAGGAAACTTTAAACTCGTGATATGCATAATCCTACAAATACAAAAACTCAGAGAAAATGTCTTAATACTTAAGGAATTTGGCATAATACACATGATTTTACCCATTTTATCACATAACTGGCATTTTTTTCTTGTGAACTGAGTTCAGCCAAAGAGAAACAGGAAGTGACATCACGGGACAGCTTTAAAAAATAGAACTTCCTGATCTGTTTATAAAAACAATATTATTTGAACTCTGTCTCTTCCTCTCTTTCTGATAGAGACTCAAAATATTCTAAAAATCATCAGATGTATGGTGATCTCATGGCTCACCAGCTCCACACAGCTCTCCCTCCTCTCAAACAAAAGCCGGAATAAAAGGACAAAAATAATAATTAGATCTGCTACAAAGTTCTTAAAAATATGGGCTGCAATGGGAAACAATCAAAAACACAATAGATGACCTATCTCAATCCTCCCAGACTTTAAGTGAATATTCACAATACTAAATTTATTTCAATGGATTGCAAGAAGCTTAATTTCAAAGGGACAATAATTTAAGAAGTTTATTGGCAATTTAAGAGAGAAACCAAGTATAATATGTATACAAGAAACATGGATGAAACCACAGACTTGGTTTTGAAAGGTTATTCTGTAATTAGAAGAGCGAGGGAATCTGGTGTTGGTGGAGGAGTTGCAACATTCGTACAAAATGGAATAAATTATAATATTACAAATGTAACCTCACAATATGAAACAATTAAGACGTGGACCAGTAGAGAAAGTATAGACATCATCAACTTTATAATCCGTGTGAAAAATTAAACCAAAGTATATTATATTATGTTGGGGGGATCACTGAAAGGTAACGTAATAAGATGTGGGGATTTTAATTCACATAAGACTTTATGGGGAAGTAATAAAATGACACAAAGGGTGAAGTAGTTGAATACAGCAGTCCTTTGTTTATTGCGGGGGTTCAGTTCCGACCCCCTCCCCCCCAGGAATTGGTGACGTTATATATATTTTAGAATTTTTATACATATATATATACATTTATACTTTTTTCATTCAACCTTTATTTAGACAGGTAAATTCCATTGAGCCTCGAGGACTCATTTACAAGAGAGACCTGATTTCAACAAAGAATGATGACAACAATGGACAACAGCAACAACAATAGACAGCCACAAAAAAGGCATACAGATTTATTTTATTTTTATTTTTTTTACAAATAAGATGGCAAAAAAGTAACAAAAACAGCTAGATTTTAAGGCGAATGTAGAAAACTAAAAACAGGAACATGTCTGCATTGGTACTTGCCAGGAGTCCAACAGATTCTTAAAGCCACTGTAGCGACTTCGATCCACAACAAGTCGCTGCCGGCTGAGTAGTTTGCTCTGTGACGCATCTCCAATCCATGCTGAGTCCACCTTGTATTTTGTGTATTTATTAAAACTAGCACAATTACTTTTGCATCTGAGGGCTGACCCTGTGACGCCCACCCACTGCTCCAACCTAGCAATGAGGATCTCATGGTCGATGGTGTCAAAGGCGGATGTGAGGTCCAACAGGACAAGCAGCACAGAATCACCGGTATCTGTGGATCTGAAGATGTCGTTAAAGACCTTTTAGCAGGGCAGTTTCAGTGCTGTGGAGAGGTTTAAAGCCAGATTGGAAAAGCTCTAAGATGGCGTGATCTTCCAGGAAGCACTTCAACTGGGACTCAACTATTTTCTCTAGTACTTTAGAAACAAATGGGAGTTTGGAGACAGGCAGGTAGTTGGAAACGACTGAGGGGTCAAGGTTTGTTTTTTTCAGGAGAGGCTGGACAGCAGCATGTTTAAAGGTTTTTGGCACCACGCCAGTGGATAAACTACTGTTTACTATATCAAGAATGGACGGACCTAGAGTTGGAAACACCTCCTTTAGTAGTCGATGGGGGACCACATCAAAGGGGGAGCCAGAAGGTTTCAAGCTGCACATGACCTGCTCTAGAGAAGATAGAGTGATGGGTTCAAAATGGTCAAATGGAGCTACAGATTGAGGTGGGATGGATGGGTCATGAGTTGGAGGGGAAATGAGAGCCCTGGTGGTCGCAATTGTTTCCAAAAAGAAATGTAAGAAGTTGTCGCACAGCTCAGTCGAGGCTTCCAGAGGTGATGGTTCAGTGAGGTGGAGAACAGAGTTTAGGGTGGAGAAGAGGACACGTGGGTTGTGAGAGTTTGAGGTAATTATATCAGAGAAGTATTTGGATTTAGCAGCTTTTACTGCTTTCTGATAACAGCACCAACTCTCTTTAAGTATCTGGAAAGAGACCTGCAGCCTGTCTTTCCTCCACTTTCGTTCCGCCCTCCTACATTGCTGCCTAGCGGCCTTGGTGACGTCACTCAGCCAAGGTTCTGCTCTGAGTTTTGATTTTCTAGTTTTAACAGGTGCAACATGATCCAGAGTCTTTAAGCAGACAGAGTTGAACTGGGATGTCAGCTCCTCAGTGGTGGTGAGAAACACCGGGGGCTGAATGATCATTTCAGAGTTATAAACATCTGTGAAACGTGTGGCAGTGAAATGGTTAATGGTCCGAGTGCGACGTGCAGGAATGCACGGCTTAGGAGTTAGATGGGGGAGGGTGAACTCAAACTGGACTGGCATGTGGTCTGAAAAAACATTATCACCAATAACAAGATTATTAACAGTCACATCATGAGTTAAAACAAGGTCCAGTGTATGTCCACGCTCTTGGGTGGGACCGTTTACATGTTGAGTTAAATTAAATGAGTCCAGTAAATCTAAAAAGTCCTTGACCAAGGGCTTCTCCTGACAGCACACATGCAAATTAAAGTCCCCAATGATGAAAACATGCTCATATTTTGGTGTGATTTCAGCCAAGAAATCAGAAAAGTCATTTATGAAGTCCTTAGATCGAGGTGGGCGGTAGATGAGTGCAAATAAAGTCGAAGGTGAATGTCCGAGTTCAAAGACGCTCAGCTCAAAGCTGGTGCGGGAAACTGGGATGTGCAGTTGTTTACAGTCAAAAGTTGATTTGAATATTGTTAATAATCCACCACCACGCCGACCTGATGGCTGCGGGGCGTTAAAACACAGACAGTTCAGTGGCAATAATTCCGTCAAGGAAACTAACATAAAACTGAATTTTATTGGTTTTACAAACGACAAAAAAGGACTAGTTTTAGCAGTTTTCCTGTCATTTATTTTGCTGGAACATGTACAAGGAGTAAAACATACTCACTTTAACTTTTTTCTTTATTTTTATACTTAATTTTTCCACAATAAAAAAATACATAGGTCTGAATAGTTCATAGTTATTATTAATTTAAAAAAAAACTACATCCCCCCAATAGAAAAATCTGGTCCTTTCATTTTGCTTAAGTTGTAAAAACCTAAATTATTTGATATGTTTTAGCTTTAGCAGCACGGTGGCGCAACTGGTAGAGCTGCTGCCTCTCAGCAAGCAGGTCCTTGGTTCAAACCCCGGTCCAAGGGCCATTCTGGGTGGAGTTTGCATGTTCTCTCCGTGCATGCGTGGGTTTTCTCAGGGTGCTCCGGTTTCCTCCCACAGTCCAAAAACATGCATGTTAGGCTGATTGGTAACTCTAAATTGTCCCTTGGTGTGAGTGAGAGAGTGAATGGTTGTTTGTCTCGTTTGTCTCTATGTGTCCCTGTGATGGACTTGCGACCCGTCCAGGGTGTACCCCATCCCTCGCACAGTGATTGCTGGACATGGGCACCAGCGACCCCCGTGACCCAAAATGGAATAAGCGGGTAAAGATAATGGATGGATAGATGTTTTAGCTTTATAATACAGTATCACCCCTAATGGTCACAACAGCCCCATCCAACAAACCTAAAGTGGCCCACGGGCCACCAGTTGATAGTCATAGCAGGTCGTTGCGGCTCTGAACACTTTTAATTTAGTGAACCATGGTGTAAAATGGCTCTTTTGATCGTAAAGTTTGCAGACCCCTGTTCTAAACTCTTAAACCTACAAATACAGTAGTCCCTCGCTACTTCACGGTTCGTTTTTCACTGACTCGCTCTATTGCGGTTTTTCAAAATCAGACTGGACATGACACACAATTGTCTGATTGATGGATGAGCCGCACAATAAGCATGGAATTTTTATTTAAAATAAATTATTTTAAATTATTTAGCACCTATTTGCAGCCCACAGCTGCAGAACAAGCTTCCCCCTGTACCAGTGTGCAGTCCAAGCTGCAGGAGAAGCTCCTTCCTGCAGCTGATCAGCTGTTCTCTGCTCTGCAGTGAAGTGGGCGTGGACCATAAACGTCAC